ACCGAACGCCCGACAGTATCAGGAGAGAGGAGGGGACCCGGCGGCATACCTTATCCCGCCGGGTGGCTGTCTCCTCCTCTCTCGGTCTCTGCCGGCGTCCATCACCAAGATGGCCGCCGGCAGGTATCAAATTCAGAATACTGCCGTGCGTGCGCGATGGCGTCATCGCGCGCACACGCGCGGTGACGTCTCGGCGGGGTAACACTCGGACACCGCTCCGGGTGTCACCCAGCCTCGGGACGCCCCTGTGTCCATGACATCTGGTTTTGTCTGAATTCGGAACAGCAGAGAGAACATGTGAATGAAAACAGCAGAACAATGATGGAACGGCTCCTTGGGATGCTGGGTAGGAATGTACGACAATTAGAGGCTGAGCAGAGAATGTGTGTATTCTGGCTGTGATACAACACACATTGGAACACACAGCGCTGGGAGAAATATGCAGCTGCTATTGCTCACCTCTCTTTCTGAAAATGCTAGTTGACTGGCTATCATACTGATCCTCTGATATAATTATATTGGTGTCACTAACCAAAATAGAAGCGGAATTCCTCACAGTACTTAAAATATAAATAATTGGTGGGTGCTCGAAGTGATTGCTATGGATGGCGCCATACCAAAAGCAGTTGAAAAGGTACAAAATCACCAGCACTGTTCTGATGACTTTGTATCTTCTCATCTGGTTTTGGCACATGGAGTGCTGGTGGCTCTCTTTCTTCTCATCTGGTCTTGGCACATGGAGTGCTGGTGGCTCTCTTTCTTCTCATCTGGTCTTGGCACGTGTTAGAAAACACTCCCTGGATGCACAATCGATGGGTCCAGGGGAGAGTGATTGATTCCTAACCGAATGTAATCATATCATTACATGCAGTGTGTAGGTGTTTATATGCGGCTGCTGTTATCGGATTATTATCAGGGCTTAGGGCATAGTTCTCCTTAGGGTAACGGGAGGACACAAACTAGCGTCCTCCCGTCACCCTAGGCTCAGTATACCGCGAGCTAAAGCTCGCGGTATACTGAGACGAACTATGAGGTGAGTGGAAAGCACTCGCCTCATAGTTCTCCTTTAACTTGAATGAGTGACAGCTACCCCTGCACATATAAAATAATACACTGCCCCCCCCGCACACACACACATAAAAAATAAAACTACCCCTGCACATATAAAATAATACACTGGCCCCCGTACACAAAAAAAAAAAATCGCCTGATAACTTTTTTGCAGGGAGGAGGCACAATCCCTGGTGATCCAGACCTCACTAATCACCACTAGCTCACCAGGGATTGTGCCTCCTCGCCTCCTCCCTGCAAAAAAGTTAGCAGGAGAAGGATCTCGGTGCTGGAGCTGACAGGAGCAACACTGCGGTCTGCATCCAACAGAGATGCAGACCGTGTAGCTGCTCCCGCAAGTCAGGTACGCGGTCACCGCGCACTTGACTTGTCAGCTTGCTGCGGGCCACATTGTACCGTAATTGGCCCGTGGGGCGGTTCTTTGATACTGCTGCTCTACAGGCTGCCTGCAGATAACTACAGGAGGGGGCAGAGGCAAGACCAGGCCCCTTGCACAAGGAGAGAGAGCAGCAGTGAGCGGTCTTTATTACAGGATGTTCCTGCACAGAGGCAAAGTGCAGCAGTTGTTTCATGCTGGTTTTAGAGCTGCAGCTAACGATTATTTTCAAAATCGATTAGTTAGCCGATTATTAAGTTCGATTAATTAATTAATCGGATAAACAATAAAATAAATGTTAAAAAATGGCTCCAGTGATGGACTACTAGTTTGTATTGAGATTGCACTCCATCACAGGAGTAAGCTTGGAGCGGTGGAAGTAAAAAAGAAAAGAAAAAAGTGTGGTGTGCAATATAGTGAAATGGAAAGTGTAAAATTATACAGCAATGCATGCAGAATGGCAACGGCTATAGAGGACTACAAAACCCAGCAATAGTACATTATACAGCGCAATGCAGAATATCACCAGCTATAGAGGAGCACAATAAATCCCAGCAATAGTACATTATAGCTGGTGGTATTCTGCATTGCGCTGTATAATGTACTGTTGCTGGGTTTTGTAGTCCTCTATAGCTAGTGGTATTCGGCATTGCTCCACTGTATAATGTATTATTACTGGGATTTGTAGACCTCTATACAGCGCAGTGCAGAATATCACCAACTATAAAGGAGTACAACAAATCCCAGCAATAGTACATTATACATACAGTGTATAATGTATTGCTGGGATTTGTATTACTCTATAGCTGATGGAACATATACAGCACAACGTACCATCAGAATCGTGGAGTGTGAGGCGGGAAGGAGGTGCGGCGTGTAGAACGTGGATGCGGGCGGGTCTGGCAGCGGTGAGCGTGAGTTGGGGAGGAGGTGCGGCGCGCAGCGTGTGTGGAGCCGTGAACAGGGCCAACTGATCAGAAGCCGATTAATAGATTATTGAAATAGTTGACAACTTTTTCAATAATCGATTATAATCGATTATGTCGATTAGTTGTTGCAGCCCTAGCTGGTTTACTGCACAGATCTGGAAGAAATACACAAAAGACATCACCATTCACAAGTAAGAATACACGTGGCTCTTGAATCTGCACAATATTTAGTTCGGCTTTAAATTGTAGTCTCACTGGCCCTTTAAGGGATGACCTAACATGGGGCTGCAGCTGTCACCTTTAGCCCAGCCAGCAATCAGTGTTGAAAGCCAGAGCCAAGATTTCCCTTTCGCTGGTAGTGACTGGAGGGCGGTGAGAGGACACTGCTTGTGCTTGTGTTGCTCCAGTTGTAATCATACAGCCGGCTGTGATAGGTGAAGACTTCACACACCCAAATAATTACGCCTAAAGCTGAGCAGCTAATCCATATGCTGAACCCCATTCAGAGCTGAAGAGGTTGCAGCGTGCACGCAGAGTTCATGCAGCGTGTAGGTTGTTTTGATTTATAAATGATCCATTAGAGTAGAGGTCTCAGCAGGAACGCGGCTCAAAGTCCTTGCACACGGTAAATACAGGCAAGGAAGTGTATGTGTGACCAGCTGGGCTCCTCGCCACCACCAGGAACGAAAGGACATGATAAAATCTCACCGCCATCATTGTATAGGTAGGAGTCTGATGAGTGCATGTTAAATCTAGGATAAGTGTATATTCCATGTCACTAGGGATTCTACACGTCGGGGCGCAGATGACATCGCTGAAGAATCGCTGAGCCGTTCAGTAAGTTACTTGGTAACTGATCCCAAAAAAGGAGGGATTGTTCCCGGCCACGTTCCGCCGACTGTCACATCTTACTCGGCATTGTCTCAGTCTTGTAGATGCAGATCTGAAGAGCGTTGCATCCAGCAAGAATAAAGTAGGGGCCATTTGAATTTTGCATTGCGTTGAAATGAATGGGCTGCCAATGTAATTTGGAACGCAACGCTCGGCAGCTGATGTGCATTGCCTTAGGCCCCTTTCGCACGGGCGGTCTGATCACTCGCGTAGAACTGGGCATCTGATCCTGAAAAACTGACTGGCGGAACCGATCGGATGCCCAATGCTAGTCTATGGGCAGCCAGGTCTAAACAGATGGGTGTCCATTTACACTTGGTTACTCCCGACTTTCCGCCAGATCTAGAAAAACAAATGGAACATTGTTCTGTTTCATTGGACCGGATCGTGCCAAATCGGGGGTAATCCAATGTAAATGGATACATGGGGTCCGGTCATTACAGTTTTTTCCTCCATCTTAATATGGAGGTAAAAACCGGATGACATGGATGTCACAGCAGTGAAAGTGACATCCGATCTGTACTTCTCTGATCTGGAGGATCCCCTCCTGATCAGCCTGTGTGAAAGGGGCCTTAAGGTGCCCATACACTGCTCGATTCTCGTACGAGAATCGAGCAGTGTGAACGAAGACGTGCGACTGTTTCTACTGTACGGTCGCACGTCTTTCGTCTAAGGAGCACGCTAGAAAACCAGCCGAAAATCGTACGATTTTCGGCTGGTTTGAACGGTGCTCGGGAGACAAATGCCGAACGGGCCTGTGTGCGCACAATGCCCGTTCAGCATTGCGGTCATCGGTAGCCCGCCCCTCAGGGGGGCGGGCTTGCGATGATCGAGAGTACGATCTGCCTGTCCAAGATGGGCAGATCGTACGTTTTTTTTAAATGACTTTACAACCATCGCAAGACTAAGGTCTAATGGTTGTAAAGTGTATGGCCACCTTTAGGTCCCTTTCACAAGGGTGGTCCGACTGAGTCCACCTGTTCGTTTTTCAGGCGGACCCAATTGGATGCCCAATGCTAGTCTATGGGCTGCCGGGTCTAAACAGACGACTGTCTGTTTACATCCGATTCCTCTCAGCTCTGGCCAGGTCAGGAAAAACAAAAGGAACAGTGTTGCATTTCACTGGACCTGATTGTGCTGGATCGGGGGCAATCTTATGTAAACAGACAGATGTCCATTTAGATCTGATTCCCCATAGACCATAGTCCATGCTGTCCGGTCATGGAAAAAAACTGGATGGACATGGTAACATCTGACCTGGAGGATTCCCTCCTGATCAGCACGTGTAAAAGGGGCCCTAGCATGTTGAGGTTTTATTATTGCTTCCACTGACCACCAAGGAAAGAAAAGGGGGGGGGGTAATTATTAGTTATGCAGATGACCAAGGAAAGCCGATCAACAAGCAAAGAGCTATCGCTGACACCAGTGATGGGGCTCATTTTACTCCCACCGTGTCTTCAGTGTTCGGTGCTTTTTGGCATACATAAAGTACATTAAATGCATATCTCATCTTATGGGAAGATTGGTGTTGAAATTAATTGTCTAGTGACAGGGCCTCTTTTTAAAGTGAAACTCCACTCTTGAAAGAAAAAAAAAACCCCTTCCAGGTCACATGTCTCGGATGGTTAATTAATACTGAATAATGAATTCTGTCTTGCAGTTTTGAAAACCGCTCTTTTCTTTACTCAGTTGGCTTTTTGCACCTTCTTCTTTTTTTTTTTTTAAAGCTTTGCGGTAGGGGGGGTGTGCAGTGACACAAAATGGCCAACCCCCCCAGTCCTGATCATGTGCCGAAGTGGCCGGTGTTGAGTGAAGCTGAACTGGAGGAATTGGCCCCCAGATCTGAAGATGGTGGACCGGGACTGGTGACCAGAATGAAGAGGAGACTCAGGTGAGCGCTAACATTATAAGGGTACATGCACTTGGGCAAATGGCATCAAAATGGCCAACAGCACCCACCCCTCCAACCCCCCCTTCCCCAACTGCTGCTCCCCCCTTCTCCTGGCCACCTAAGGTGACTAATAAAGTTGGCTGAACGACCAAGAACAAATGCTTGGTTTCCCCATTCATGCTAAACAGTGTGCATAGAAGCATCCCACCCCCATTACCCCGCCAGCTTATTGCATTCTGACAGTAGTGGGTATCCTGCTTTCAGAATACCAGAAAGGTGACTGCAGCTGAATGGCTGCAATCATTGTGCGGCTGAGAATTTTCGGAGTAGCTCCTTCGTCAAAAAAACGATCGAAAAATTGATTCCATCCAACAGAAGCCACACGCTGCCGGAGCTTCGGCCGATTCATATCCGAACACTGCTTCGCTAGCATTAATGACATGCAGCCTTTCCCCTTTGAATCACCCGTTCCATTCTGGGTTTCCGCACATTTTCCAGCTGCTGCAGGCTGGCAGTGGATAGTGGTTATAGACATTGAAACTAATATGTGCGTGTTACCCTATGCGATCATGTACAAAAAGTTCCAAGTTGGCTGTTTCCCCATTCTATACATAAGACAGTCGGGTCTCCATTATTCATGTATTCCTTTACATGTGTCTATTAGCTGCTGTTAATGTGATGGGGGGATTGCCTCATCCAGACATATGTCAGCGGAATTCTCCCGGCATCGGAGGTTCTAGTTCCAACAACCGAGCCGCGTCTATTCCCGGGCCTCCTCCTCCTTCCCGCCTGCTGTTTTAATTCCGCTCGGCGAGGGATCTCTGCGGAGATAATTCTGGGTGCGCCTATTAACCTGCTGTGCTCACGCCGCCTTTCTTTGTATTCCAGATGTTCTGGGACGGTCGCGAAATCCCTTCTCCTGAAATTTATTCCGATCCTTAATTGGCTGCCGAGATATCCCGTCAAAGAGTGGCTGTTGGGGGATATAATATCCGGGATCAGCGTTGGCATCATCCAGCTCCCTCTAGGTACAGACATTGTCTCCCAGCTTCTGAGTGTGAATAACAGTATTGCATTGAGCCATAGAGTTGCTTCCATTGCTCTCCACAGAAGGGGAGACAGCTCAGGCGGTTTACAGGACAGCAATTCAGGAGACACCTGACCGCTAAATGTCAAGCTTCTACCGTGTTTGTCTGTTGGACCAATTGGGAAGAAGTTTGAGGAAGAGCGGACGTCTTAGCAGATGTGCCATTCCTTACCCAGGGATAAATCTACATATGTCACCTTTTTGGTATCTGCAGGTTTAGCGTATGGCCTGCTGGCCGGAGTCCCCCCAGTCTTCGGTCTGTACTCCTCCTTCTATCCTGTAATTCTGTACTCCATATTCGGCACATCCCGACACATCTCCCCAGGTAAGTACACAGCTGTAGGTGTACATGGCATTCATTTTTTTACCAATACATTTTAATTTTGTAAAATTTGCCTGAAAGCAATTGACAGTGCTTGAAGCTGGAGTTTAATCTGCTTAGATTTTGCCTTCTCTGGTTCCTTCTCCACCCTCCATCCCTCATCTACATCATAATGAAATTTTTCTGGCTTTATGTGTTGTCCCACTACGACCCCACCTCTAAATACAGAGGGACCACCCACTACTGGCCCTGATCCCCGCAACTAATGCCTTTTTGGGTTACTGCCCATCACGTTCACTTCTTGGGTTGGTCTTAGACCAGGTCCTTGGCCCAGACCCTACCTCTAAATATGCAGAGACCGCCAACTTGCAGCCCCATTCCTGCAATTAATGCCTTTTTGAGTTATTGCCCATCACACTCACTTCTTGGGTTGGTACCATCCAGATCCTGCCTCTAAATATGCACTAACTGCCCACTCATGGCCCTGATCTATGCAATGAAAGCCTTTCTAAGTTACTCCCCTATCACGCCCACTTTTTGGGTTGATCCTGTCCACATCTCACCTCTAACTATGCGGGTACTGCCCACTCTTGACCCCAATCCTCACATTTTATGCCTTTTTAAATTACTGCCCATCATGCCCACTTTATGGGTTGGTGCTATCCAGACCCCACCATTAAATATGCAGGGACTGCCCACTCATGGCCCCGATCCCCGCAATGAATGTCTTATGAGTTATTGCCCATCATGCCCACTTCTTGGGTTGGTCTCGTCCAGACCCCACCTCTAACTATGCAGGAACCACCCACTCAAGATCCCTTCATTCAATTCCTTTATAAGTGCCAACTGCCATTCCACCCTCCAGTATGAGTGTCTGAACTGGGCCACTGACTTTCGATATGGGAATGAAAGTTGATGCAGCATGAAGGAAAGTGAATGTTTGTATAATAAATATATAAATGTATCAAATATTTTTTTCTTTATTTGGAGACAGAAGCACATAGAAGACAGGTAAGTATGTCTTCCATATCCTTTTTGCACTTCTTTTTCTTCCTCCTCTTGCAGGAACCTTCGCTGTCATCTCTGTGATGGTCGGAAGTGTGACAGAATCCCTGGCACCATCGGATAATTTTATTCTACCGGGTAATGAGTCATGGGTGGATGAGGCGGCCAGGGATGCGGTCAGGGTCCAGGTGGCATCATCCCTAACGCTGTTAGTTGGGATATTTCAGGTAAGATGGATTGTACCATGCTGATACATTGTATTTCTTTAATCATTTATGACCACATGCAGGAACATTTATTCAATTCTCCTTCCCTCTGTGTTGGCAGATCTTGTTGGGTCTGGTGCAGTTCGGCTTTGTGGTGACGTACCTTTCGGATCCTCTGATTCGCGGTTACACCAGCGCAGCGGCTGTTCACGTGACTGTGTCTCAGCTGAAGAGCATTCTGGGAGTCAGTATCAGCCAAAGGAGCCACCCGCTGTCACTCATCTATGTAAGACCCCCGTATTACACAGCTGTTGTATATCACGTGGCATATACAGCATTTTCAGCACCATTTACAGCTGATGTGCATCACCATTGTTTAGTGCACCAACAGCTTTTATATCAAAGGAAGACTTTCCTGAAAAACACATGGAAGCCGCCATTATTGACCTATGAATGCTAGCTGCCTGGCTCTCATGTTGAACCTCTTGCTTTGATACACTTGATAATGCAGATAAGAACCTTTTTATATAGTTCTGAATATTGCAGACAAAGGTTTGGGGCTCTGTCAGGTTTTTATTACTGTGTGTGTGCCCACTTGAAGGCGGTAGGGGCTTCTCTACTTCCTGTCCCTGTGACACCCAGGGTATTTCCCTAGGCTGAACTTCCTGTTTGTCTTGCAAGCATGCCCCAGAACAGTGCTATGTGGAATCCACAAGGCATGCAGTAACACTGTAATAAGCACCGGAGGTTTGTATTTTGGAAGTGTTTTCTTTGGATGGTATCAAACATTTGTATGCTGTTTTTTGGATAGTTTAGTGGCAGTAAGGACATGAGTGAGAAGTTTGAATTCATACTTGGATATGTCGGGCGGTCGAACATTCAGCAGTGCTTCGCTCGGGGTCAACTGTATGTTCCTCTTGGTGAGGGTGGAGAGTATTGCGTTCACCTGAGACCAGAGCCTCTGGGCGATCGGGCAATTCCACCAAACATGGAGGAAATCCCCCCGCGTTGCACAGCCTCGGAAGCAACTTGGCGAGCTGCCAGGTGTCACATGGGCCATGCGACTCGGCACCATGTACCACCTGTACAGGACCTTATAGTTAGCCTCTACTGCTGTCGCATTACGGGAGCAAGAGGCCGTGGTATCCCATATCTGCTGCCACGGTATTTCATCCATTTCTAGTCCCAGGTCAGCAGCCCAACTATGCATGTATTTATGATGATGGCACTTTTTGATGGCAATTCCATTCGTAATTGAAGACCCGTAGAGAAATCAATTACTGTATTTTCTTTATGTTCTTACTTATTGCTCAAAAAATTGAATTTAATTTCAGTTATAATGAGACCCTTCAGCAAGCTGAAGTTCTTGGTTTCCCAGTCTTTCACCGAACCGGCAAAGTCCAAGTCCTTTTCCCTGGCCTTAGCTGCCAAGTCTTGGTTCGGCTCTACTTCCTGGAATAAGCTAGCATAGAGAAGTCTCTTCTTCTTGTGGCAAAGGGGTGGTGGTGGTGGGGGAGGGGGGTCACAAAGGGTTTAAAACTCTTGACAGCACTCAGGAAGTGCCTTATCTGTAAGTAGGACCAATATGGTATGGGGCCTTTCCCAGTAAGGCTGTGGAGATCTTGTAAGGAAAGGAATGCACCACGTTTGAAAAATGTCTTAGATGGTTTGGTCCACCTAGAGACATGAGAGGCAGCTGGCATTGGCATGCCAGGCTTAAAAGCAGAGGAGTAAAAAGTGGAAAATAAGCCAACTTTCTTGACCAAGGTATGGTAAATAAGTAAAGGTGCTTGAATGAGGGTGTGATCGTGCAGAGACCCAGGGATGTGTAATGTCTTTATCCATGGGATAGAATGCAAGGGGGTCGAAGAAAACTCTTGTTCCAATGGGACCCAGTCTTTTAGAGTAGCATGGACATTCCAGTCTACTGTCCTAGCCAGGTAACAGGCCCAATGGTACTTGAGGACTTTGGGAAAACCAATGCCCCCCCCGTATGTTTCAGTGAAAAGAGAGTCCAAAGGCTCACCCTTGGGGTTTTACTGTTCCAGAGAAAGGTGACTCAAACATTTTTGGCTCTATAGACATTTATGGAAGCAGCTGGAAAACATGCTACTAGCTTTCCATTGGTTAAACAAAAAAGCTGAAGCCCGAAAAGCAAAAAATGCTTTAGAATTGGTTGAAAACATTCCCGCTCATGGGTGAATGGGAGCTTGGTGATGAAGCCGGTGATGGGTTAACTGTTATTGAACTAATGGGTTATTGAACTAATTTTCCTTCTTGTATAAGGGCCACATGTGGGATTAGTTATAAAGTACAAAGTACCCGCAGAGGCCAATCAGAATCTTCGAACGGCAAAGTGAATTCTGATTGGTTGCTGTTGGTTTATTGCTCATTGCTCCTGGTGCTGTTTGAGTGACCTCATCGTTGCCTTTTGTCCTCATCGGTGTCCAGGCCATTGTGAATATCTGCGCCAAGCTGCCCAAGACGAACGTCGCCTCTCTCCTCATCGGTGTCATTGCCATCGTCGTCCTGTTTGTGGTGAAGTTCCTGAACGAGAAATACAACTCGAAGATCCGATTTCCTATACCGATCGAGCTGATCACGGTAACGTTTGTAACGGATAATGTTGTATTCTGAGCATACAAGGTTTTATAACCCCACCTGTAAATACATGGGGATCCACAAGTGGCCCTGATCCCCGCAATTAATGCCTTTTTAAAGTTTTGCCCAAAGCCTTTTTCGGGCTTTCTCTGCTTTATTTTCTCCTGGTGATCCTGCCAGTAACACACTTCCTGTCCTAAGGTGACAACGCTCACACTCTCTGTCAGTCAGCTCTCTCCTATCAGCTTGCTGCTTGTTATCACATGAGCACTACAGCACAACTAATCGGCTCCTTGTGCTGCTTCTCCCTCCCCCATTCTTAGCTCTGCTGTGCAAGGATGGCAAGAGGCCGATACCAGGTCAGATTCAGGTACTTACAATGCTTGCATTTAAAAAAAGAATACAGAAATGAATTAAGTTGAATCTTTTATGTCTGAGTTGAGTTCATTTTTAAAGTACATCTCTGCCTTGCGCAGTGCAGGTGTACCCAGGTCACGGTATACAGGATATGCTGTGCAGCAGCTGCACCTGACACCTCCCCTGTCTGCTCTGTGTTTTAGCTAATTGTGGCCACTGGGATAGCGTACGGGGCCGATCTGAACGAAGCGTATGGCGTGGGCATTGTCGGAGACATCCCCACTGGGTAAGCACTGAATAATGTATGAGACTAATTAGTTGCGGCAAGCAAATGTGTGTAATTAAACCTAAATTGTGAAAGTGAAGCGCTCTCTAATGGTAAATTAGCTGATCAAGGAAACCCCAATAATGGGTTCTGTGTCCCCGGCCGGCTTTAATATTGTGGAGGACGGTGGGGGCCATGATGTCCTGTGCCCGCTCTCTGCCTCTCATGGCTACAACATACTGAGACATTGTGGATTCGAATTTTTTATTGTGTTCTAACGCAAGTGTGACTCACGAGATAACAGATTACTCACCTGGTCCTCGGACCTGTGGCGGCCAGCGATCACTTCTCTCCAGCCGTGGTACGTCTCTCGCAGTCCTCACCTCTAATAAAAGTCAATGGACCTGCATAAGACGTGATGGCGTCAGCGGTCCTTAGACCACCGGAGCCCAGGGGACAAGAGGCTGTGGGGACTGATCCAGCAACCTGGAGGGAGGCGGCGGAAACGAGGACCAGATAAGTAATACAGCATTTTCGGAGTCCATTAGACAGAATGAGCACTTAACCCTTGCAGTGCGGGGGTAGCCCCAGTGCAAGGTTAAGGCTTTGATTTTTCTCTGAGTTCTTCTTTAATGGTATTTTATGGTAGGTCCTTAGTAATGTGTAAATGTAACACTTCCAGGTATTACCTCTCGCAGAGATCACAGTACTCTTCCCCCCCCCCTCTCCGGACAATGCCTTTGTCTGTTTTCCATTCCTGAAGGACGGTGCCATCTTTGTTCAGGCACCATCCAGGGCTACGACCTACTGGACTGAGATGCTGACTTGGAGATGACATGATCAAGGTCAAGCTACCGGCACTCAACATCCCCTTTTGATGATACTCTATTGATACATTCTGCACACAAAAGATACAACTGCTGATGCGTTTCTGCCGAAATGGCCTAAGCCATAGCTATGGCTAAGGCCGTTTTGGCAGAAACGCAGCAGTATCTACAAAGGAATGGATGTGAAGTCACCAGCACCACAGACTTGTAATTGTGTCCCATTCGTCATAGGGTCGTCACTTTATAGGTCACTCCATGCTGGCTTGAGAAAGGAACCCTGTGAGGCCCCGAAATGTCACTATATATGTCTGTGAGATGCAATTTCATGCCTGGAGGGCTGGTGATTGGTGCCTGGTGGGGCTTTTCTTCAAACTGATACTGTTGCCGTATATTTGGACATATGAATATTTTTTTCATGCAGACTTGTAGAGTTCCTGACAGTTCCACGTTCATATTCCCTGAATTCTGTGATGTATCTCTCTCTGTGTAAGACATGATGATGAAGACTTCTCCCTATTTGCTGCAGGCTGAAGGCTCCAGTTATTCCAGACGTTTCCCTCTTTGCCAGTGTGGCCGGCAATGCTTTTGCCATAGCCGTGGTGGTCTACGCCTTTACCATCTCTCTGGTGAAGATGTTCGCGGTGAAGCACGGTTACAACATAGACAGTAACCAGGTGAAATCCCCCGCAGTGCTTGTATGTTGCCGGAGAAAATGACGGAGCAATAGAAGTTCTCTGTTCTCTTGCAGGAATTCATCGCTCTCGGTCTCAGTAATTCTGTGGGAAGTTTCTTCCAGTGTTTCACAATCGGGACGGCCATGTCGAGGAGTCTGGTGCAGGAGAGCACAGGAGGGAACAGCCAGGTACAACCCTTTGATAAGAACATCATCTGCTGAACATAGCAATGCATTGAGTTACCCAATTATGGGACAAAGTCCTTTAGCACCCAAAGCCAAAGCGTGCCCCCTCGCCCCCCCATGAGATACTGAAGCAGCATAGGTTGCAGTTTTCCCCCCCCTTTGCACCCACTTCCTGCTGAAGTGCCCAAGGCAGCTGCCTCTTCTGCCTACCCTTTGGCCTGGTCCTGGACTTACTATGTTTTCTAGGGATCAATTTGTTGGTTGTAGCCTGTGATAGCAGTCTTATACCTGACCCTATCACATTCTTTCTTTATACAAATATTTGCATAGCTGTTTTTCCAGTGACATTCCATGTACATTCATTATTTGCACATAAATAAATGGGGGGAAATCGAATGTTCTTAAAGCTATTTTCTGTTCTGGTTGAATGTTCTTCAAATATCGTGGGCAGTAGTGAAATGGGAAAATACCACATTATGGCCTCCTAGATGGAGCTGAGGATCATAGGGAATATATACATCTTAGTAACAAAAGATACAATGTAACAAATCTTAAAGAATACTTGAGGGAATTAGCAGACAAATGTAACCATTGCTACCTCAAGCATTCCCATATTAGAAATGGTCACATTTGTGATCTTGCATTGAGCCTGGCTTGTTTTAGCTAAATAACGCAGCTGAACGCAGCTGGTGTAAATGAGCCCAAAGGGTGGAAATCCACTTTTTACACCTTTTTTTTTTTTTACCAGTGGGGAGAGAATTTATAATGCCTTTGCCCAGCCAGCGACTTGGCAGAGGGTAACATTGAAGGCATGAGCTGATATTTGGGCCCTGTTTTAGGCAAATTCGATCCACTTATTACTAATTACCCCTCTTCTTCCTTCTGAAACTCCTCCCATTTGTCTTTCTTTAGGTCGCAGGGGGCGTGTCATGTTTGGTTATTCTCGTCATCCTTCTTAAGGCCGGTGAGCTGTTTAAGACTCTGCCAAAAGTGAGTTAATTTATAACATGGTGAGTTTATCAGATATTCACCTCTGTCTGCTATAGATGACATAAAAACAGGAAATACCCCAGGTGACAGTGCACAATGACAATTATTGTTCTCCCTTTGTACAACGCAGGAACATTTAGCTCTACAAATATTTTGTAAGCAATGTGACATTGAGAACGCCTATAAATGTTCAATTCGACTAAATACATTCCAGGTGCCGCAAATCAGTTCATTTTCTTTCCAAAGCAGCCACAGCCTGAGAAGAAAAGACCGACCTCTGCCAGCATGCAGCAGAGAAGGACCCTTGCTTTCTATGGGAAAGCAGTAGTCTCTGCTTTCCCATAGAGATGCTTTCTGCTGATTGGAGAGCTATAGCTCTGACTCAACACGGGGCATGTTGAACCTCTGCAGAGAGATCACTGCTTCCAAATGGAGAGAGCAAGGACCCTGCTCTGCAGCATAAAGCTTTCCTATGCAAGGTTTCAGTTTTCATCCAGGTATTGCTGATTTTCTAGCAGGTCTGGTAACATCTGTGGCAGGGGGTTGTCCTTACTCCTACCTTGAACATCTGACGTAAGGTGTGAGCATCGTTCAGTGCAGTAGTACAGTGGGACCAAACTGTGTAATATCAATGCTCCCAGGAGTGTGGGTCCCCTGCAGACTGGATTCAGAAATAACTTCCTATGCACTTCACATTCAAGACTCCTGATAATAAACTAAACCTTTGTGTGAGGTTAAAGAACTGCTACAATCTCTATGTGTTGTCCTAAAGGTTTGTATATCGAATACGCTGCTCACCAGAGACCCACTATTCATTTTACTTGCTACCTGGAAACTTCCCCCGGTCTAAGCAGCTCCTCTCATCATCATCCAGGGCAGCCATCAGAAATTTTGGGGCCCCTTATACGGCTTTAGGCCGGGCCCCCCCCCGCGCCGCTGGATGCAGGTCTTAGTGATGCACTGGACACAGGACCCACCTGAGAGTGACCCTGCAGAGCCCACCATAGATGCTGCACAGCCCATCTGAGATTGTCTATGGTGGGCTCTGAAGGGGTCTCAGGTGGGCTGGTCAGGGCTGCATCCCTCCCCTCCCTCCTTTCCTTCCTTCCTTCCTAGCTCCTCTTACCTGCACACATGGCCTCGTCTGCCGCCGGACCGGCCAGAAGGGACGTCACGCCACTTCCGGCCAGTCCGAAATCAGACGAGCAGCGTCGCTGATAGGGCCCTAGCTTGTTTCAAAGCCGCTGGAGCGACAATGCTGGGGCCCTGCGCTGCTAGGGCCAGGCCTCCGCCTCTTTGCCCTTCACCGTCGGCCTATAGTCATGTAAGGGACCCGGGCAGGCCCCCCAGGCTGCCGGGGCCCCTTACATGAGTATTGGCCGTACCCCCCTGATGGCTGCCCTGTCATCATCTAGTCTACCGCTGGAAGCAAGCTGCCTTCTTCTGCAGCAATCTGAAATCTCTCCTGCAGCAGTCTTGTTGGACACATTGGCATATTCAGTTGTCCACATCTTCCTGCTTTCCTCAACGTTCTATTTCTTTGCATGTTTTCTCTTGCTAGTGCTCTTGGCTTGTAAGGGAACATTCTGTTATTTCCTTGCAAGATAGGTGATATAAATGCTACATGACTGTCATGGCAGAACCATATCGGTATGTGCCATGTTAATCATTTTTCAATAAAATGCCTGACTCAGGTCAGGAGGTGAGGGTCAGAGGGCTGTTATGGCATTGAACCGGTTAGGGGTCCTTGAAACAATCACAAGACCAGATTCAGCTGATAGATGGTGGAGCAGATTGTGGTGCTCCTTTGCTCATTGCTATCTATAATATATGGCTATTTTTGTTACCCCAAGTTAACCCTTCAGTCTTTTAAAATAATGTAGATTACGTTACCCAGCAATCTCCATATCTTAGTGCTGTGTTGTATTTCCGATTTCATTACATGTCTTGGTTCCTTCATCCCAGGCAATACTGGCATCAGTCGTCATTGTGAACTTAAAGGGCATCTTCAAGCAGTTCAGAGATATACCCCTGCTATGGAGAACAAACAAAATTGACTTGGTAAAGCATTATTTTATAATTGCATAAAATTCATGAGACTTCAGAGGTGTATGCATTTCTATGTGGTAGGCAATTAAAGGGGGGGGGGGGTTCGTTTTAGGGGGCTAAATGATGATCTACTAAAAGCTTTGTAATGGGCTCAGGTCTGAGATTTCTATGAATTGTAAACTATTAAGGAAATCTTCCAATCTGCTCTCTTTCAGGTGGTCTGGCTGGTGACATTTGTGGCCACGATACTCCTGAACTTGGACTTGGGACTGGCGGTTTCGGTGGCCTTCTCTCTCCTGACTGTCATCGTTAAGACACAGCTGTGAGTTTTGCTTTGACATTGGTCATTATATGTAAATACAACGCTATCTATGGCCTCATTCGCATGGGCTAAAACTGCCAACGTGCTGCAAGAATCTTCAGATTTCCATGGCTGGGATCACAGGTGGTTGTGGAAGGCAGATGCCGCTCAGCCTGTACAACCAATGACAGGCTGACAGTAGACATGGATGTCCGCCTCTGATTGCCGGTGGTTAGGGACAGATGTCTGACCCTAGATGCATTCTGTCTGCATCCAGGGTCTTGGCCGCTCAGGCGCAAACACTTTCACCTGGGACTCTAGTTGTTTATCATGACATTGTTGTATTGCACCAGTCTAGCCTACTACCTCTGATTGATGCATCTTACCTTTCAAAAGGACTATGCACTTTAATTGACAGCCATTTTCTAAATCCCTAATTAGCAGATATTAACACAAAACAAGTTTGTCAACTGTTAGCTGAAAGAACACTTCATATAGTTCCCATCTGTCACATTGAATGATATTGGAATATAGTTAAGCCCTAAGCCGTTTCCTGCTTAATGTTTGAATGATTATCATGTTCTTTTGTCTGTTGTTCTCCTCTCCCTACAGGCCTCATTACTCCATTCTTGGGCAAGTTCCCAGTACTCACATTTACAGAGATGTGGCTCAGTGCCAACAGGTGAGAGTCAATGACACTGTTTGCTAATGGAGATAATGCAGTTTGGTATTTCTTGTTGCAAACCAATGGACAGAATGCTTTCAAGAGGAGGCAAACTTTTTAGGAATCTATAGCACTAAACTAGAAGACACTCCTACAACTATGTACATGAAATATGATGATAAAACATTCAACAAGATTGTGGACGATGTGTATGTGTCACATTCACATGGTGATGGGCTCTGTGGGTTTATGGCTGACATGATGAAAACAAACCTTTTGTTTTCTCAGACCTTAATAGGTTTTGTTCCAGATGCTGGAGCCCAGAGGATTTGTAGAGCTTTGGGTGGGATAAAGCCTCCATTTCTAGGTCCAAATTTTACATGGTAGCCAAACCTTATTATTAGTCTCCGCTGTCCAGGGGCATTTATAATTATGAGCTGACTGATGCTTAGTGCTCTCTCTCTATGTGAGCTGACTTAGTGCTCTCTCTCTATGTCTGCTGCTGGGTGAAAGAGCTGACTGCTGACAGAACATGAAAAAGGACAAGAGTTGCCTGCTTATGGTAGGGAACCTATTAGGGGGTCACGCTGTTAGGCGGGAACTGTCCTGAGTTTAATCGTTAGGCAGATTGTTTTATGCTCTGGACTTACTATTCAAAGCCCTTCTGCATTCTACCATGTTTGCTGGTTTGCTAAAAAAAAAAGTGCAGGACAAACCTGCTTGGACTGTTCAAGGTTGTCCCTATCTCATGCATGGTTTACCTCTGCCAATGGAAGTTGAGCCTTTTCCCTTTTGCAATATACTGTATACGGTATATGTTATGAGGCCATATTTTTAATACAGATGCGTAAATCACCAACGAAGTACTGATGGGGTGGTCATAATAATCTGTATATATATACACTGTATAAACCTTATGTATTTTAATAAATAAAATATATATATCAAACACTTTACACTAGCCTTAATATCTATTTTTCAGCTCCAGGAAGTGCGTGGCATTAAGATTTTCAAGTCTTCAGCAACAGTTTACTTTGCTAATGCCGATTTATATGCAAACGCAGTTAAAAAGATGGTATGTTTAATGTTCCTTATCTGCAATGTCTTGATGGACATGGCTGCATCTGACTTTCTTTCTCTTTTTGAATTTTATTTATGGAATAACATATTTCTCTATGCTTCTTTTGAAACAATATCTTCACAGAGTGGAATCGAAGTGGATAAACTGATTGAGATGAAGAAAAAAGCTATTAAAAAGGAAGCTCAGCTACAGAAAAAGGCTGAAAAACGGGCCAAGAAAGAACTGAAACGAAGGAAAGGAGGGATGGAACTGGTGGTAAGCACAGGGCAACACTGCTAAGTGAGGGGATGATAGAGATACTTAGGTGGACCTTCACCCTTGAAAATAACTTCTTCTCTCTTTGTTTTACACAATTGGAGATTTTTACCATTTTTTTTTTTTTTTATTGTTTAGGGTTCCACTTCCTGAAACCTCCCATAGCCAAAGATGACGTAGCTCCAGCCACTGCTGTCTCCTGGAATGTCTACATCACATGTCCTAGGAGGCAGTGTTTCAGTGTGAAATTTTATGCATGCGAAGTCAAGCCGCGGGTCTGCCAGATTCCCACGGCGTGTCTACACGTAAGCAAGACCCCCCCCTTCCTCCCACACATGCGCAGACCGTTACAGGATCCTGGTAGACCTTGAGACTTGTCTATGCATGCACAGATTCCGTGCATGTGCAGACATGCGACTGGTCTCTCCCATAGACCTGGCAGAGATCCTTGCTGTCTGTGCATGGGATCTCGTTTTAAGAAGGGTGGAGCTGAGCAATACAAGGAGAACCATAGCTACAATGAAGACAACATTGGACTCCATGGACTACTAAGTTTTTTTTGTTTTTATTTTTATACAGGGACAATTATTAGGGATTTAAAATTTAAGTTTAGCAAGGTAAGGTGAAGTTTCACCCTAATAAATCAGTCCGCCATCTTCCAATCCCAATAGATCAGTACTTGGTGGATACTGGAGAGTTAAAGTTCTCCTCTAAAAAGTAGAAAATGGAGCCATTGGAAGTGGAGATCAAATACAGAATCATAACTAATCCAAGCTTTCAATAGTTTATATCATTATTTTATGCCAAAGGAAAAAAAAAAATCTCAAATTCACAACTTTGATATTTTAGTATGTGAATTGAGTGTTCCAATGAGAAAAATGATCATGCGATGAAATAACAAATGCATTTAAGATAACTCACGAACCTTAGTAAATTGACGCCGTAGCTTTTTCATGTCTTCTAGGCGAATGAGCTTGATTCGATTGCTGTTCACAACTTAAGCACCACAGATACTGAGATCCAGAAAGACCGCGGACTCTTGGAAGAGAACACCGTAAACTGCCTAGAACAAAATCTACCTCCCATCCACTCACTCATCCTGGATCTGAGCACCGTTAGTTTTGTAGACACCGGCAGCATTAAGATGCTGAAAAATGTAAGTGTGGAAACTAGCAGACCTTCTGCTCCAGTACGCCTCAGGCCCAGACCCTGAACACATCTGGTTGTATACGGCTCAGAGATTTTGGTGCATGTTCTTACCAGCATTGACTTTTGTGAATAGAGGTAGGATTGGCATGGGGATTTGTTGTCAATAAAGAACTAATGGTTTTAGGATTATGGATAATGAGGGGTTGCGTTTAAAGGGAATCTGTGGCCAGGCTATGGACATTCAAATATGTACATAGTGTAACATCACTTCCCCCCTCTGGGTGATCTATGTACATTGCAAGAATTTGAACAAACATTGTTAAACAAGATTTTGACCTTTTTCGATTTTGAAGAAAAAGCGGTTTCTTTCACCATGTCCTTTCCAGGCTGATTCTTGGATGGGAGGGTCTGATTCTTGGATGGGAGGGTCTGATTCTTGAATGAGAGGGTCTGATTCTTGAATGGGGGGGTCTGATTCCTGAATGAGGGGCGAGGGGGTCTGATTCCTGAATGAGGGGGGAGTCGGATTCTTGAACGGCAGGGTCGGATTCTTGAACGGGAAGGTCAAGGTCGGATTGAATGGGAGGGTTGGGTTCATCATACCCACCTGGTGCACTTTCAGTGTTCTAATGAGGAAAGTTGCATTGTCTGCATTTTATTTAGAAGTAGTTACCCCTTAGGAAGCATCTCCCTACAAATTACATTTCTGTTGCAGGGGATGATTAGAGTTTGACTTGTATCTTAATGCAGACTTTTGGGAAAATCTGTGAGCCAATCACACCAGCAGGAAATGACATTTCTGTGGGTGTTCCATCCACCAATGGTGTACAGAACGTCTTCAGGTTGCCATATTGTATTTAACTTTTTTTATTTTTTTTTAAGAAATCAGAGTGGCTTCAGGCAATTTTTAATAACATTAAATTACAAAAAAGGCTTGTGTAGCAATTGTGTATGCTATATTACATTTTTATGAAAGTAGAGTTTTCTTTTTAACAAGCAGTACATGAGCTTTATAAGCCCTCACTAACCTCAGTAGCTGCAGGCACTGTAGAGCAATTCATCCACAAAATCACAGCATGACTTGGACAAGGTCAGCGGTTTTGCTGTGAACGTTTGAGGATGTATTGCTCCCCTGTGAAGTGGTTAAGGGTTAAAGTAAAGGGTGGAGGATAAGAGCTGTGGGCTAGGTTGAGGTTTTTTGGAATGGATTGAGGATCAGTGTAGCTAAGCTGCTCACATTACACTGTGGGTTGAGATCATCTTGAATATCAATACACTTCCAAGGCAAGGAAACATAATGAGGGGAATTTATCAAAACTGGAGCAGACGAAATCTGGAGCAGATTTGCACCGCAACCAATCAGCTTCTCTCTTTCATTTTCAAATCTTAAACTGAACAAACTGACGAGAGAAGCTGATTGGTTGCCATGCACAGCTGCTCCAGTTTTGATGAATTCCCTCCAATGAGTGCTTGGAATGTCGGTCTTTTTAATGGCATTGGTCTATTTTGTGTTGTTTTAGCTATTTCGTGATTTCCATGAAATCGATGTGAACGTTTACCTCGCGGGATGTCATGGTAAGTAAAAGCGGGTCATAAAAGTAATTATACATTTTAAAATGAATGATTGAATAAATGATTATGTTGAGCCCAGAAGATATCCCCTTCGGTACCACTTCCCTAAATATAGAGAAGGATAACTCTAGAAACTAAATGAGATTTTTCAGAGATGGGGAAACGGTCAAGAAACACAAGTTATACAAAAATAAAATGTATTTAAATACAAAACTTCAAAAATTAAAGTGGGGGGCGTGTCCGGCCGCCGATCGTAATGGCCGCACTGTGAGAGAGCTCCGTTCTCACAAGCCCTGTCAGCGACGTAATAAACAGCATCCAGGAGCCTGTCTCACCCGCAAATAGGTCAGGTATCTGCCTGCTAGCCACAGGACCTCTCCGATCATGCCTAAAAGAGGGAAGGGACATCAGAAGCCCCAGAAGATGACAGACTTTTTCCCAGCCTACATTTTCAATAAAATAAATATTGTTGGGAAAAAAAAAAATTTAAAAAGTAACACTAAACTCCGGAGTTAAATCCTAAAAATACATTCAAGTCCCTGAACTATTATCAACAATGTATCTTATTTGTGTATCACTTCGCTGGAGATCCTCCAATCATCTCTGAATTGGTGCTGACACTGTCCTTCCTTCTGGAGGGGGGCTACTTTTGTCCCCCATGGTCTCTGTGTGTGTTGTAAAGTAGTCACCGCTCCAACCTCGCTCCTGTGACGGACTACAATCTTAATACAAATTAGTAAACTAAACATAAGATTGTAGTCCATCCCGGGAGCGAGCATGGAGCGGTGACTACTTTACAACACACACAGGGACCATGGAGAACAAAAGTAACCCCCCTCCAGAAGGAAGGACAGTGTCAGCACCAATTCAGACCAATTCAGATATGATTGGAGGATCTACAGCTGTGTGATACACAAATAAGATACATTGTTGATAATAGTTAAGGTACTTGAATGTATTTTTAACATTTAACTCCTGAGTCTAGTGTCACTTTAAGATATATACTTTATGTAAGTTTCCAACCTCTCAGTTAACCTCCATCCAGGCCCACTTATTGTAAACCACTTTTATCGTCATACATTAGCTGAGATATAATGCTTTTAGTACATTAATCAACTGTAATGTAAAAAGTGGACCCAATTTCTGTGACACATTTCGTAGACCGCCTGCCCACTTCTTCAGGATGGAAGCAAGTCACTACAAATATATAAAAACATCATTATATTCAAATTATTTATTGTATATAATAGTGTAGCGTCCCCCATTTCTCGGTCAGTGATACCCAATGCAAAATAACACTACCATTGGCTAGGTGACCCCAGTGGAGATGGTAAGGAAATTGTCTCCCTCATTCATTAATGTGATGGGGGTACTTTAAAAAAGGTCACGTGTGTAGATAAATGCCCGCAGTGCCATTTGTTTGGGCTGCCACCGTTGCCGGTTTGCAGAAGTTCTTTGCTAGTTCTCTGTGTAATGCCCAGTCACTTCTTGCCTGTGGTACAAACCCTTCATACATTGCATTAAAAGCTGAACTCCGTGATAAGCAAATATTGTCCTCATACAAGAGTCATATGTATCCTTTCTTGACTCTTGGTGAGCTTTGTGTATGTCTTTAAGACAGAGGCCTGTACACTATAAAATGTGCCTATGGTGTGCCGCCCAGCTCCTGGCAACCAGTGATGTCATTGGTTGCCAGGATCATGGCGGGACGCCTGCCAGAGCGAAGAAAAGTCAGCCTGTGGGTCGGTCTCTTTATGCCTTTTAGACAACAAGCAAGTAATGTGATCATATTTGTGATTGTGACAGAGAGTGTTCTGGAAGAGCTGGAGGTGGGGAACTTTTTCAGCAAGACGATCACCAAGTCTCAGTTATTCCCGTCTGTCCATGATGCCGTCACTTTCATCACAGACTCATCAGAACATCAAGAAGTCCAAGAGAATCACGTGAGTTGAAAGATACTTGTAATTGAAAGGAGCCTTATTCATCGAATGTATGAGATGCCGGCCCACTAAACCTGATATTATAAAGGAATACTTTTTCAGTAGCAGCCAAATTCATTGATTCTACAACCACAAACCACAAGAGCACAATGGAGATTCTCTAGAATGTGGGGGGAACCCCTTATAATGGGCAAAGCAAGTGTGCAGACCCGAGAACTCGAAAAGGGATGGTGGGAGCCCCTCATAATGGACTCAGGAGGTGTGCAGATATGTGAACTCAGCATAGACATAGTGGGAGCCCCTCATAATGAGCACAGCAGGTGTGCAGAGCCAGGAACGCAGTGTAGAGATGGTGGGGGCCCCTCATAATGGTCACAGGAGGTGTGTAGACCTGGGAACTCAGTGCAGAGATAGTGAGAACCCATCCGACCCGGGAACTAAGCTCAGGGATGGTGGGAGGCCCTCATAATGGGCACAGCGGGTGTACAGACCTGGGAACTCAGCTCAGGGATGGTGGGAACCCATCATGATGGGCAGAGCAGGTGTACAGACCTGGGAACTCAGCACGGGGATGGTGGGAGCCGCTCATAATGGGCACAGCGGGTGTACAGACCTGGGAACTCAGCACGGGGATGGTGGGAGCCGCTCATAATGGGCACAGCAGGTGTGCAGACGCAGGAACTTGGCACAGGGATGGTGGGAGCCCCTCATAATGGGCACAGCGGGTGTGCAGACTCAAAAACTCAGCATCGAGATCTCACTAATCGACACCCTGGAAAATAGAAGAGACTGCTGCCTGGTTTAACTTTCCAGCATTAACCAAACACTAAAAACATCAGGTTTAGGCAGAAGTGTAAATTACGCCAGTGCGCTCCTCTCCAAAGACAGGTTTGGGCCATTTTTTTTCCTTTACATTCCTGAACGCTGCTCTAGATTACAGAGCCAAATGCCACTATGTGCATGGAAACATTGGTTATTATAGAGCTGCATTCAAAGGTGTAAAAGAAAAGGCCGCACGGGTCTAAAAGTGGCGTTTTTTTTCATTGAGCCCCATAACAGCCATTGTTAACAGCTTTCTTCTTTCTTTCAGATCTCTTTCACAAGGATGTAAAGAGAAGAGAGCGCCGTAGTGGAAGAGCAGCACTAGAGAAGTCTGGAATGATGTCGCATATTATACTGGATGTTCTGAGCTGCCCTGAGGATGTCATTCTGCTTTTACTGCCACCTTGTGGAGGATTTGGGTTTTTCGCCAAGCGTACTCTACGTTTGCTCTCTGAGACTTGATTATGATTTTAGAAGAACTGCAACCTTATCGGGGCAGGCATTTTTTTTCAGTGCCCTCGTGCCTCTAAGACTTTGAATTATCATTTTTTTAAAGTGGCTGGACTGCCTGATTCTGATGTAATGAGTTTCGCGCGGGGGGATTTGTGGTTGGGTTCACACACACGGTTACTGCCCAGAAAACAAAAAAACAACTTGTTATACTTACATATTTTAGAAGCATATATCGTATTGCTCAACCCTGGTGATAATCCTGAGGTCAGTTTGTGCAGCCAGTTAGTTTACTGGTAGAGTAACCGATCTGTAAGTGCAGAAGATCAAATATTGGTTCAGCTTACCAAAGGGCTGCCTGCTTGGCTGAGCTTGTTTAAAGTAGACCTGTCATAAGACACACAGGAAAACGGACCATTGCTGACCTCTTCCGAGAATGCTCTATCACAGGGGTAGGCAACCTCTGTACCCCACCTGTTGTGGAACTACAAGCCTCAGGGGGCATTGCAAAACTCTGACAGCCACAGCATGACTCCAAGAGGTATGATGGGATTTGGATTTTCACCACAGCTGGAGTGCCGAGGTTGCCTACCCCTTGCCTATCACAATGGTTCTCTGGCTTCAACACTGATTTTGAGTGTAGTGATGAGGAATTCTGCTGCATTTGGAAATATCAAAAGCAGACTCGGCCAGGTAACTAGCATTTTCAGAAGGCGGTTGGCACTATCACCCTCCATTCTTGCCTTATGACAGGTGCACTTTATAAAGTTTATGTTCAGATCTTTTTATTTTGCCTGAAACCAGACAGGTTTTTTAATGCTCATGGAAGTAGGAACAAGGCTCAGGATGCAAATCTTCAGCCAGTAGAAAAGGTCATCATTTGGACCTGATAGCCTGGGTTCGGTGACTCTCCACAAAATGCCCCCCCCCCCCCCCCCCCCCCCCATAAGAAGTAGGGGTCACCCAAATTGAGAAGTCCAAGTACAGTTGAGCCAAAATGAGCGCCAAACAAATGTCTGAAAAGTCCAGTTTATTATTAATATTTCCACAAGTGGCAACAAGAAACCAAAATGCAGCCAACGCGATTTCAGAGGTCACAAATCCTCCTTCATCTGAGTTACAAAAAAAAAACACAGAGATTGCAATAATAAATAAAGGAAAGAATGGAGGACAACGGAAATCGCATATACTGTTACGTACCTTATTGGAGACCGGATGTGAGAGGAGGCTTCCCTTGCACCTTGTGTCCTGGGGGACTCTAGGGATGGGAACAGAGACCAGAAGGAAAACAAGTGGCAGGAGTGCCAGTGGTGTTGAGCACCGTGCAAGCTGTAATCCGATGGGACGAGCCGAGGTCAAATCCAAGCGGGCAATCATGGTACAAAAGGGTTAGGCAAAAGAGTAGTCAAAGAAACAGTTCCGAGGTCAAGGCAAGGGTAGTCAAGGAAATCCGGGTCACAAGAATCAGGGAAGTATAACGAAATCACAGGAGCAAGGAATAGTTGACGATAATCCAGCAACATGGTGGTGCTGTGGCTGAGCTTATATAGGGGAAGTGATAGCTGTTATGAGTCACTTCCTGTGCGCCACTACGACGCGTTTCCGTGCTGGTGGTTGAACGCTTCTGCACATGCGCGGAATGGCGCGGTTCTGAGTACGCGCGCCTGGCGCATGCGCAGTTAGCGGAGACCCATTACATATACAAAAATAAATATATATATATAGTGTGTGTGCATATTCTTTGTAAAATGCATATAGAGTATATGGATGAGTCCTTAGTCTTCTATAGTTTCCTATATTCATCAGTCTAATCTTTTGTGTTTTTTCTATTTCCGATGAAGGGGGTTTAGGTAAGTTTTTATTGCTGTGTTGCCTCTGGGGTGCTTTCTGCTCACAGTTCCTTCCCCCAGGACAGGGATCAAAGGGACAGAAAGTGATGGGATTGTTTTTTCCATGCGGATAAAGATGGCAACATAAACACTTCTTTAGTAGAGAAGAGAAAGATTAGACCCTGGCAGGTTTTATTGCTGTCTTGCAGAAATTCAAACCCCCAACAACTCTATTCAAAGCCAACAAAGCATTTTGGCTGCAGTTGGGATTACATTGGTTAAGGGTTCAATGGCTTTCAGGAACTGCGCCAATCATTGTAAGGTCGCCCATAGATTCTAGTTCTGCCCCTTTTACCTTGGAGTTTTGGCTATTACTCTACATCAGGAGAAGCAAACTCCAGCTGTGGTGAAACTACCAGTCCCATCAAGAATCCGCCTCTGGCAGTCATGCCTGTGGCTGTCACAGCCTTGCAATGCCTCAAGGGATTTGTAGTTGCACCACAGCGTGAGGGCCTGAATGTTCCTACCCCTGCTCTACAGAATATAATACATCCATACATTCCAGGTGCATCAAAACAAAATGTGTGCAAAGACTTGCAGTTGGTTTTCTTTCGAAAGAAGCAACAGCCTGAGTAGCAACGGCCGTCCGCTGGCAGCATGGTGCAGAGAAGGAACATTGCTCTCTGTGTGGAAGCAGTGGTCTCTCTGCAGGTCACCAACAAGGACCATTGCTCTCTGTGTCGAAGCAGTTGTCTTTCGGAAGAGGTCCAGCAATGCCCTTTGTGTCAGATCTACTGTATAAGTCTAGTAATGTTCCTGCTGATTGGAGAGCTATGACTGCAGTGGGTGTGGCTGACATCTGCAGAAAGACCACTGCTTCCAAACATAGAGCAAGGGTCCCTCTCTGCACCATGCTGGCAGGGGAAAGGCTCCTCTACTCGGGCTGTGGCTGACCTTCAAAGAAATTAAAGACTTTGCACACCTTTTTGTGTTGATGCGCCTGGAATGTATTAAACTGATTTAACATTAAAGGGAATTTAACATATGGGAAATAAAACCTGGATGAGACGGCTGTGTTGGAAGCAGCAACCTAGTTACTGAGCTATAGCCCTGTTTAAAGTGCGTCTTCCATAGGACAGAGCATTCCTGCTTCAATCAGAGCCTTCTCGCGTCAATTTTTTGCTTAGTGACAGAATTTTTTTTACTTAAGACAAAAGTAAGTGTAGTCCTTCAGATTAGTTCATACGCGCCAGCTTAAACACAACCAATTCTGTGTCACTTCATTGCACCCCTGAGAGAGCAGAAAGAATAGATAGTTTGGGAGCAATTGTTTGAATTGCCCATCACAACCAATAAAATTCTCACTTCCATTGTCCTCACTTCACAGGGAGCAGAAATAGGAGGATTCTTTTTTTCAGGCCTAACGGACATCATGTATAAGGACCTTTATGAGGTTACATTGGTGTCATTTATAAATGGTGTATCTGTATTTTTATCTGGGTGACTTTTATTGTGGGAATTATTAATCAGATTTAATAAAGTTTAACATTCTCAAGTTTTAGACTACTATTTGCTCATTAAAAAAAACACATATGCTCCTATGATGCCAGTGGGTCTTGTACTTGATCTGCTCCTATGATGCCAATGGAACTTATACTTGATCTGTTCCCATGATGCCAGTGGGTCTTGTACTTGATCTGCTCCTATGATGCCAATGGAACTTATACTTGATCTGTTCCCATGATGCCAGTGGGGCTTGTACTTGATCTGCTCCTATGATGCCAATGGAACTTATACTTGATCTGTTCCCATGATGCCAGTGGGGCTTGTACTTGATCTGCTCCTATGATGCCAATGGGGCTTGTTCTTGATCTGCTCCTATGATGCCAATAGGACTTCTACTTGATCTGTTCCCATTATGCCAATGGGTGTTGTACTTGATCTGCTCCTATGACGCCAATGGGCTTGTGCTTGATCTGCTACTATGATGCCAGCGGGGCTTGTCCTTGATCTGCACCTATGATGCCAATAGGGCTTGTACTTGATCTGCTCCTATCATGCCAAAGGGGCTTGTGCTTGATCTGTTCCTATGAAGCCAACAGGGCTTGTTTTCAATCTGCTCCTATGATGCCAAGGGGGTTGTACGTGATCTTCTCATATAATGCCAATGAGGCTTGTTCTCAATCTGATCCTATGAAGCCAGTAGGGCTTGTACTTGATCTGCTCCTATGATGCCAGTAGGGCTTGTACTTGATCTGCTCCTATGATGCCAGTGGGGCTTGTACATGATCTGCTCCTATAATGCCAGTGGGGCTTGTACTTGATCTGCTCCTATGAAGCCAATGGGGCTTGTGCTTGATCTGCTCCAATGAAGCCAATGGGGCTTGGACTTGATCTGCTCCTATGATGCCAATGGGGCTTCTACGTGATCTGCTTCTATGATGCCGGGGGGCTTGTTCTTTATCTGCTCCTATGATGCCAATAGGGATTGTACTTGATCTGCTCCTGCATGAGATTGAAGGTCTGGAAGAGCATCTTTAAGTACAAAATTAAAGAACTCTGGGCATTTTTAATACTTGCTACCCCTGCACTGCAAGTGTTAAGTGCTCATTTTTCTCTAGGGGAGGGAATAAAGCAGATATACTCACCTGATCCTCGGGCCTGTAACAGTCGGGCTCAGCTCTCTCCCCTCTGCTTTGACTGTGGATGCCCCTTGGCGTCCTCACATAAAATGAAAGTCAGTGGACCTGCATTAGACGTGATGATGCCATGGGTCCTTAGACCACCAGAACGCAGGGGAGAGGAAACTGCACAGACTGGCCTAGCAGCCTGGTGGGTCCAAGTATCAGGTACGTATATCTGCTTTATTCCATCCCCTAGAGAAAAACTAGCACTTTTTAATCATTAAAAGCCAGCACATTTCAGAATTTAGAGGTTCCCCCTCATCAGAACTTGGTACTGTCGAACAAAGTGTGGACAGGACTGATAGAATTAGAGGGATCCTGCAGGGTAATGAGATTGAATTATCCTGATTTGAGTTAATCAGAGTCCACACAAATTCTCATCAGGTCAATGTTGTACTATAAATACACACTGTTGAATAATCCCTTATTTACTTTAATTATCTTTTTGGCTCTGTTCTTCCTCTCCGATGCCTCTCTGAGCTGTGATTGGTAGACAGGTTGACCCAATTTCAGCAGGAATGTGTTGAATTCATCGACATTTCACATAACAGAAGTATTGTGTATAGTACACTTGTCTTGGCTCCACCTTGTGTACAAGTTACAGTAAACAATGCCGCTAAAAAACATATTTGTAAATGACACAAGAAAGTATCCTTTGTGTATCTGCGCTCAGACGAGCAGTAAACATTTTTGTGCCGCTATGCTTACATGGTGAACAAATCTGTACACACTGGCGGTTTAACACATGCTAAAAAAATGCCATGAACAATGGCGGCCTTTCAGAGTTCATGACAGTTTTTGATTGCAACAAATACTGCTGCGGCATGTGACTGACCCAAGTGTGTTGGCACCATATTTACTTGGCAAGTTGGTACCCCCAAGGTCACTTCTGAGTAAGTGGCACCACCATGGAACCTATTAAATAACTGGCAGTTGAGGATGTTTTGGTGAGAGCTGTACAAACAATTATGACATTGTCATCACCAGAATGATTTATGGGAAAGGGGAATGGAAACAGAATGGAATAATTCATTTTTATTGGCTATTGAGGTGGGCAGTGTTGGACGTGCCCATTATAGACCAGTATAAATATGATCTATTTACCATCTATTTACCTTCAGCTAGCTAATGTCCAATCAGAATTTCTCCCTTGGGTAATGAATTTGGTCCAGTGCATAGCAGGTTGATGGTAAGTTACTTCGTCATTTATACAATGTTGAAATAGGTGTTGTGGAAATGGGATGAGATTAGTTCATTGATGCCATTTTAATCAAGAGGGCATACTGGGTAATGGAATGCTGCAATGTCAGGCGGGGCAGTTCATTTGCTTTTTATTTCTGTCTGGGTCATCAAGGGGCAAAATTCCCTTTCTGTTCTGACAACCATCAAATAGACAGGAAGTGGGGAGATTCTCCCTTGCTATATTGTTGGGCTAGGACGAGGCATAGGCAAAAGAGGCGACTGTCTAGGGTTCTTCAGCAAAGTAGGGGGCGCAAAAAAGGGCAGGCTCTCAACCTGTGCTGCTAGGGTAGTTTACACGTCATAGCCAGAAGCAGACTTCCTGACCTCTTGAAGGCACACTAGTCACAAGCGATGCTCTAAATAGGGAACATATCTCGTTTTCCAAGCTGCCTATGACCAGTCAAAGTGCATTGAGGCCCTGATCTCGATCTTTAACTTTTTGAAAGTTTAGCCCTCTAAAAATGGATGGCTGCCAATTGAAAGTTATCACAAGAGGTGTGCTTGCCTCTTCTAGGAGGAAACCTAGGCTCTGCCAGCCCCCCACCAGCCTGACCATTGCACACTCCAGAAACAAGAAAACGTAGGTTATAAATGGGGGCTGGTAGCAGAGTAGGAGCATACAGCATACATCTTAGGAACTGCAAAAAAAAGTCACAGGGGGCACATAGGCTTTTTTGCCTTTCGTGCTATAGGACCTTGTCCCAACACTGATTTCATCCTATACCCATCAAATAGAAGGGCATTGAAGAGTAATTTCTCAAACACCGGGCAGCAATAAAGAGTTGACAGATATTTTATATTCTATCTAAAACTAACATTTTGGATTGAGTTGGATTTTAAAAGTAACAGTTTTCGGAAATTCTACAGTATTTTTTTGGAATTTGGGAGTCCTAGTAGACCACAGACGTAGCAATGGCATGCAATGCCAGGCCACCGCTAACAAAGCAAGCAAACTACTATCATACATTAAAAGGGTATTTAGAGATAAACCGGGCCGTAACCCTACCAGTCAAAAAAGCATTGGTTCAGCCTCATGTTCCAGTATGCCTCCAGTGTTGGTCACCGGTCCACGGGAAGGATTTTCTTGAACCTGAAAAAGTCCAAAGACGGAAAATGAAATTGATAAGAGGGATGGAAGACCTAAACTACGAGGAAAGATGACAAAAATGACACTTATTCATTCTAAGGAAGAGGGGTTTAAGAAGGCATATGATCGCAATTGTCAAATTGTTTAATGGTGATGTCAAAATTGATAATAAACTCTACTCTAAAGAAGGCAAGAGGCCACCACCTGATATTGGAGGAAAAGAGGTTTTCTTTTTCATCATATTTTATTCCTTAATTATTCCATGAAGCATTGTGCCTTTTCATATACTCATGAATGGACATATAGTAAGCACCCATAAGGGATATGTCTACATAAATGGACCGTATCTTGGAGTGACAGTCTTGTTCTTTCTATACAATGGCTAAATTGTCCGTCATTGGTTCCTTGAACTGATATGTGATTGTCATGCTCACACTGCATCTTGTATCCTTCTTGACTATGTAACACTTTTATTTAAAACATTAAGAAAACGTTGAATAATAAATACCCTGATCACAAATGTACAGCATTTTTGTAGCCCATCAGGACACTTTCAGAAACGAGGACCATGAATCTATTTGCCTATTTTTACTTAATACTGGAAATGTAATCAGAATTCATTCCCATAACTTTATTTCCATTTTTCTATTTCAGTTTTTCACCAGCAGACAACAATAGTGATTTTCTCCTCTACATAGTCCATGACAGCAGACCTGTATGGAAGCCACTGAGGATCATCTCACTATGATGGAGGATAAGCAGGTCCAAGCTTCGGAAAACGGTCATCTTAAGAAGCCGCAGGTGGTAAGCGAGGCTGACTTGGACCAAATTGCCCCTAGAACAAAGATTTTAAAACCATCGCTCTGGACGAGGTGCAAGAACCAGATAAGGTGAGGAGCTCTGATTAAAGGTATTGGATAGTTTTTTGCTTAGTTAAAGTGTATTTGAAAGCAACATTTTTTTTAAAAACTTTTGGATAGGTCAGTACCTCTGCTAGGATTGTATTGCTGGCTGTGTCCCTGTTTGGGAGATTCACCCTCTCTGTTTGTCCAGGTGGTTGCATCAGGGGCGGGGGCGTAACTAGAAATCACAGGGCCCCATAGCAAAATTTTGTATGGGGCCCTGTGATTTCTAGTTACGCCCACCTGATAACCCAAACAGCCCACTTGAGGGTGACCCTGCAGAGCCCACCATAGACTCTCTATGGTGGGCTCTGCAGGGTCTCAGCCGGGCGGAGGGGGTCTAAATATTGACCTTTTTCATTCATCTATATAGCCCAGATAAATTGCATTGCACATTAAAAGGAACATTACAGTGAAACTCCAACCAAAACTCTTTGGGGAAATGGATAAATCCCCCATTCAGGTTCTTTTCCTGATTTTGCTCCCGTTGGGGTCTTTTGCTCTCACTTCCTCTGTGGTCACTTGGGCAGGAAATGAAGAACACACAACCCCAGAGCCTAGCTGGTTATAAACCAATTACCCTACTAGTGTGTTTTATAGAGTTGTGGTCGGAAACCAGCAACCGTACAAAGACAGCAAACACAGAACCAACATGAGAGTGTGTATGTATATATATATAGTAATGTAAATGGGTAAGCCGTATTAGTCCAGTAGAGAATATGTATAAAAAAACAAAACGGAGTATTGTAGTATGCGATGATACCTTTCTTATTGGACTAACAAAATATATAAAAGACAAGCTTTCGAGAGTTAACCTCTCTTCTTCAGGTCAGAAGCAATACTAATCAACATGACAACGTTTACCACTTAAAGCAAGAGAAAGTTGTTAGGGAGGGGTAAACGTTGTCATGTTGATCAGTATTGCTTCTGACCTGAAGAAGAGAGGTTAACTCTCGAAAGCTTGTCTTTTATATATTTTGTTAGTCCAATAAGAAAGGTATCATCGCATACTACAATACTCCGTTTTGGTTTTTTATATATATATATATACATATGAATTCTAATACAAATGACCTTGCTGTTCTTTATCCAAGATGCTCCCAAAATACAGCCATATGCTTGCTGCTGAAATATGTTCCTGTCCTGCGATGGCTGCCGCGGTACCCTGCCCGGGAGTGGATGCTGGGAGATGCCATCTCTGGGATTAGTGTTGGCATAGTTCAGCTGCCTCAAGGTAACTTATACAGCATGGTTTGGTGATGACTGATTTCTCAATAAGTGATTCTCCTTTTAATAACAGGAAACCCATCATAAGAGAAATAAAGGGCTTGCCGTTACTGACCTCCCATTCTGAAAATGCGAGCTGCCTGGCCGTCATGATGATGCTTTGGAACTGGATATCTGACTTTCAATTGGCAACAATAGGACAAAAATAAAAAGCTGAACCCCAGACACCAATGGATGCAATTATATGTTACTTGCAAAATAATTTGAATTCTTTTGAAATGCAAGAAGTGAATTTGTCATGGTTTCAGAGTCTTAAAATCCCCTGAACAGCACCACTTAGACTAGGAGAGAGAGAGAAGCTGCACCAGGAGCCAATCGGACTTGGCTACAAGCACATGTGCTGATAAGACGGACACAGCAGAGAGAGCAGACATGAGCTCATTAGTCTGCTGCTGCAACATCACTGTCCAATCACAGCATGGGGGTTGGAAGGTGACTAAACTGTGTTGGTTAAATGCAGTAGAGAAAAGTCAGGTCACCAGACTGACTGGGTTATACAAATCTCAGACTAGATGGACAGAAATACAAATCCTTTGAGTGGTAAATCAGCTCTCGTATATGTTTTTTTAACTGTGTATGAATGGAGTCCGGTTTTAATAGATACCAAGCCTCAGCTCCCAGCATGCAGCAGGCCAACTCTCCGTAGCTCCTTCCCATGGCGGTGGAGGGGGCCCTGATACCAAGGGTTAAGTATCTGAATGCTAAATAATAATCTTTCTATTTCAGGACTGGCATATGCTCTCTTTGGCTGGCCTACCGCCTGTCTTTGGGCTCTACACCTCATTTTATCCTGTGCTTATGTATTTTCTTCTGGGGACCTCAAGACACATATCTGTAGGTGAGATCTTGATGGTGCGTTTTTGCAAAAAATAAAAAGTCAACAGTCTGCAGAAATGATATCTGCTAAGTCAAAGGTCATATCCACAACCCATTCAAAGGTAAACTTTACTAATAGCAGATAAAGTTGTTGCTCCCAGGGGTGGAAAACTCAGCCACAGACATTGGATGGTGCTCATCCACGCTCACCATGCTTACTTTACAAGAAAGGACCAGGCGCACTCAGATAATCACAACATATCAATAACACTTTTTTGTACTGATGAACATGCACAGAGAAGGCCATCCTGTCTCATTCCTCCCCACCCTGACGTGTTTCACCCTAAACCAGTAGAGATCTGTAGGAGTAGGCCTGTCCTAGGGTGAAATGTGTCAGAACATCTGACAAACGCTAACGTTTAGTCACATGTGAAAACTGATAAACAACTGAAGTGGTTCTGTATTCATAAAAAAAGTATTATTAACCCCTTCATGACTGAGGCCCTTTTTCCCATTTTTGCACTCGTATACATACTTGAATCTGTCTTGGTATCAAGACCCCTGTACAACAGCACTTAGACTGGGAGACTATGGTTTATATGAACGTGTTTATAACATATACATAGTTACATAGTTACATAGTATTTGAGGTTGAATAAAGACATTAGTCCATCAAGTCCAACCTATTAGGATCTCATTCTAGGAGTACCCGTACCCCTGTATATTACGGTCC